ATGGTGACGACTTCGTGTCGACCACCGTGGTCAATAGTGTACGCCTTACTCGCACGATGTAGCACCTTAAATGGTCCTATGTACGGCGACTGAAGAGGATGTCGAACATCGTCTGCGCGAAGAAGGACGTGGGAACACGAGGACAGCTTCTCAGGCACGTACACTGGTGTCTTTTGCGATCGAGGAGCGGGTGGACGTAGCTCACGCATCTGGTGAGCCAATCGATCCGTGTAACTTCGGTAGTCAAAAGTGGAAATATGTAGGGCTGGTGTTACCAGCTGTCCGGGCAACCGCAGCGTGCGGCCGTAAACTAGCTGCGCGGGTGTGGCGTTGAAATCGGTTTTAACCGTGTTTCTTCAGCCTAGGAAAACGAGGGGCAGCGTTTCAGACCATGAAGGATCTGCGTGCGCACGTAGCGCTGCCTTCAACTGGCGGTGAAAACGCCCCACCATGCCATTAGCTGCCGGATGATACGCTGTCGTCTGAACGTGGCGATAGCCTAAATCCTTAAGCAATGTGGCAAACGTTGACGAGAAATGTGACCCTCGATCGGTGCTCACGATGGCGGGACAGCGGTATTGAGCTACCCAGCGCTCCATAAAAGCTTTCGCTACCGTTTCCGAGGAGCAATTTGGGATAAGGACGGCCTCAGGCCATCTAGCAAATCGATCGATGCAGGTCAGTAGATATACAGAGCCTTTAGAAGGCCATAGAGAACCTACGAGGTCGACGTGCACGTGATAAAAACGAGCGTCCGGCGTGGGAAACGTGCCTAATGGGCTTCTCGTGTGCTTGTGCACCTTCGCGCGTTGACACGAAACGCAAGCAGCTGCCCAAGTACGGACGTCCCGATTAACATTGCGCCAAACGAATCGTGCGGTTACGAGTTTAACCGATGCACGAACACCTGGATGAGGCAAGCCGTGCAACGTGTCGAACGCGGTCTGCCGAAACTCGAGTGGGACGACTGGGCGCGGCGTGCCCAGAGATAAATCGCAGAGTATAGTGCCGTCTGATGATGTCAGCGGAACGGGTCGTATGTCCAATGAGGGAGACCTGCTTAGTAGATCAACTTCAGGATTGTTGAGTTGTGCTGTGGCCATGGCTGCCAAGTCGATAGCAGTGCCGGCGTCAGCGGAGATAGCTTGGATTCGGGAAGTGCATCGGCGACGGCGTTGTGCACACCTGAGACATGCCGTATATCGGTCGTAAACTGAGCGATATAGTCAAGGTGGCGCGACTCTCTAGGAGAGTATCGGTCGGTAGTCGGGCCGAGCACGTAAGTCAGGGGTTTGTGGTCGGTGAAGACGACAAAGGAACGGCCTTCTAGTACTTGTCGAAAGTGACGTATCGCTAGATATACGGCTAGTAATTCTCTACCAAACGTGCTGTAGCGAGATTCGGTAGGTTGTAGGCGTTTGGAGAAAAACGCTAAGGGTTGCCACGTATCGGCTACTCATTGCTGCAAAACAGCGCCGACTGCCACGTCCGAGGCGTCAGTACTGACGGGCAGTGGGGCGGCCGGATCGTGATGCGCTATAGAAGTTATGTTGGCGATAGCCTCTTTCAGCGACTTAAAAGCAGCGCGTGCTGAGGCCGGAAATTCGAATTTCTTGTGTTTCCCTCGGAGAAGGTCCGTGAGGGGTTGCATCAGCGAGGCGCAGTTGGGTATAACTCGTCGGTAAAAGTTGACAAGGCCATCAAAACGCCTGAGCTGTTTGAAAGAATGAGGCTCGGGGTAGTCGATGATGGCTTGAATTTTATCTTGCAGTAGCACGACCCTGCAGTGGAGATACGATGGCCGAGGAAAATGACTGCATCGACACCAAACGAACACTTTTCTGCGTTGATCATCACTCCGTGTTGAGACAAACGATCAAAAAGTGTTCGTACGTGGCGCATGTGCTCTTCTCGTGAAGAGCTCGCGATTAAAATGTCATCAAGATACGTGTAAGCGAAGTCTAAGCCGCGACAAACTTGTTCGATGAAGCACTGAAAAGTTTGCGCGGCGTTCCTTAGGCCAAATGGCATGCGCAGAAACTCGAACAAACCAAATGGAGTCGTCACGGCAGTTTTAGCGATGTCAGCTTCGGCTACCGGAATTGGGTTGTATGCGCGTACCAAGTCAATTTTGCTAAAGATATTTTTACCCTCCAGACTGGCGGTGAGATCCACTATGTGTGGGATCGGGTAGCGATCAGGCGTGGTAACTGTATTCAAGGATCGATAGTCGCCGCAAGGACGCTAGTCCCCCATGACCTTCTTCGGGACCATGTGCAGAGGCGACGCCCATGGGCTGTTGGACGGTCTGACGATACCAAGTTGAAGCATGTGGTCAAGTTCGGCTCGTGCTGCGCGTAGTTTGTCAGGAGCAAGCCGTCTTGGTCGTGCGTTAACTGACTGACCGCGCGTAACTATGTGGTGAGCGACCTCTGTCGTGACTGGTGGAAGCTCTGCAGCCGGTCGAACCAGTCGCGGGTGTTCGGAGAGGAGGCTCAAATAGTCTGCGATCCGAACTACAGAGGTGATTATCGGGGCATCTGAAAGGACACCATCAACACCTAGTTTCGTACGATCGTCTAAAAGTCTGTGGCGACCAGCATCAACAAGCAACCCAAAATGTCGGAGGAAGTCGATACCGATAATTGCGAAGGGTACAGAGCAATCATGAAGACTCACTGAAAGTCTCGGCAAAGATTGAGGTCCAGGTTCATCATGCGCTGACCGAATGAAGCAATCGGAGAACCGTTGGCCGCACGCAAATTGTACGTAGGCTCTGAGTGCTTGTCGTTAGCGGTCGCCGGGATGACGCTGACTTCCGCTCCTGTATCGCTGAGGAATGTGATGGAAGAACGTCGATCCTTAACGTAAAACAGTCGGTTTGCTTGGTTATAGACGGATACGTTGGTCGTGCTAGTGTGCGGGCTATTTGATTTCCCTGAAGCAGCTGGGTCATGCCTGATGCAGGGAGACCGACAACGTCTTGCTCTTCCGCCGTATTGGCGGTGATACCAACATACTTCTTCGACGTGTTTGACATTATCTGACTGAGAACTTGTAGGGAAGATGTTGCGCTTTCGTGCCGAACGTGACGTGTTTGGTGCAGGCACATACGAGTCGCATTGAACGGTAGCCAAAACGTGGTCAGCAATTGACCGTGGCACACGCTGCTTCGAAGCCTTCATTGCTGCTATCTTGCTGCGAGGTAGCGCAATTTCCTCGTCTTTAGAGTCAGATCAGCCTAACGACTGGGAGCAAACATGAGATTCGGTTTTCATCGGTGAGAATACGTCACCGGAGCTACTGGTCTTCTGCTGCGGAAGCCGTTCAAACGCAGCGTCTGCCTTAGTGACTAATTCTTTCAGTGATGTATCTATAAACATGGACAGCATTACCGGTAATGGCTCTGGGAGACTTGCAAGCCACAGCTCCTTTATCCCTTCTTCGCTTAAGAATAAGGGACCAGCGATGCGCTGAAGTTCGCGGAGCAACACCGACGGCTTGCGATCTCCAAGCTTGAGACCATTCAGCTGCTCAAATTGAGTTCGTGCGCTGGGCCGTAACTCTTTCAAAATCGCTTGCTTCATCGTTTCATACTTTGCCTCATTGCATGGGCAGAGTAGAATGTCCTCAACCAGCGTCACAACCGACGAAGGAAGGCGTGGGACGTGCTGATTTTTCCTTGGAAGGTCCGCCGTATTTTCTAGTTCGATCTCGAATATCTTAAACCAAACCTCTGGATTGTGTTCCACGAAACTTGGAACAGCCAAAGTAAGCATGTTTTACGCTGTGAAACGACCCGGTTGCCACTCTCGAAATGTGAGTCGAAAGATAAGGAATGAACAAAATACGATAAAAGTAACAAAAGTACGCAAGAAACAAATGAATACAGGTATATAATCGAGAAAAAGGAACGAACTCACCAAAAAAATACAAACGAGAAAAAAGTTGAATTCACGCGTGCGAATCGGGGTCACCAATTTGTAGGACTAGTTACTACTAGTCCGAGACGGTGCGCGAAAATACGCGCGGATATCGGAAGGCAATGGGAGTTGGACACAGCGGATTGTATTCGATGGGTTACATTATGAAGCGGACGGATGAAACGAGACAAGAGCGTACACATGAGCGCGGGGACTTACAAGGCAGTTGTGTGTCGAGCCGGTTGTAAGATTAAAACAAGAAGGAGTAATGTACAATCGGTCAACAAGTAAATTGTACATGAAAGAGAAGAGTTGTCTTTCTGGGCGCTACAATATCATCATTGGGGACTAGCTTTTAGTTAAATATGAAGGTACAAAGACTGCACCAGTTCCTGGAACATGTTATTGAAATATCAGATAGGCTTGTACATGGTGAAATTTTTGACTAAATCATTAATTGGATCCCACTACATATTTCACAAAATGATGACATTGCTGATGTTCGTAAAAAGTATGCTTAAATGATATCACAATCTGCTTGCAATAGCCGTGAATAATATAAATTATCTAGTAATATGCTGTCAGTGAAATGTTTCTGCCACGGGCAACACTGAGATAGACCGTAGTATCACGATTACATGTTTTTGCAAGAACAAAAAAACTATCCTGATTTCATAAATTTTGTCAATATCATGATTTTGTATGAGACGTGTTGACACCAGCTTCCTTATTTTTACTGTAAGATGACGTCATTACTGGTGGAAGGCGATATATTCACTTTACCCCGAGGTATACTCATTTTTCCTCTTCACCGAGTAAAATATATATACTATAGGGGATAATAGGTATTCGGTGTAACTCAATATTTTACTGACAAAATATTCATTGATTATAAGCCTGATGTAAAATTTATGACGTAAAACTTTAATAAAATATAACAATCCGCTCAGAGCTATCGCATGAAAAATGATACCCAATTTATACTCATTTTTACCCCAGGTGACCCCATATCTATGTTTACACATCTTACCGCACTCTGAAAAGCTGATATTGTTCATGTGTTCCTGTTTATTTCAGGTTTAACTCGGGGCTTTGTTCCAGGAGTTCGAATATTTTTGTCCTCCAACGGTTATGATGCTGTACTGGACGTGCTTGAACGGCTGTGTTCATTGCCAAATGCTGCCGACTTGAATGAAGTTAAACGTGTTCGCGACAAAGGCTCCTTTCTGATTTATTGCCTTCTTCAAGATACTTTACCCGACTTGATGGGTAAGTGACGGTTCTCACTTCCTGTTATCATTCTTTTGCTTATGTATGAATTTTCTATCGCCACCCCACTGAAAGGAAATCTTCATTTCTTCCCCAATCAGATAGTCAGTGTATATCCAGAAAAACACTGTAAGGCCGTCTCGTTTTTCTAAAATACAGTAACTGACCAATCTTCGAAATTTGATCCAAATCCACCGTTTGCTGTTCCCTACAACTGGATTGAACTCATTTTGTGATATGTTCGCTGTTAGCCAGTGACTTGACATCAAGTAGCATCGAGTATTCATCTGTAGACGAAACTTACAGCTTGTTATTCCCTTGTTCTTCGTTCACCTGCCAACTTGTCGCCTCGGCACGTGCTGTTCGCTGACACTGGGGTGTTTGCTTGCGCAGAGGACACAAAAGCGTAACTGTTCGGAAAATGGCCTGAACAGAGGCCTCAAGATCGGGTCCATCAGTGGTTCGGTGCTCTATCGAGATATCACTATTGAGGTACTAATGCTTTTGCATTTGACTCCTTGCTAATCGGGCTGATTGGGTTTACCAAACTATGACGCTGGAATCATATTTGTTTGTGTTACCACTGGCTTTTCGAAGTTCACTTTTTCATCGTATTCGCTTTCTTTTGACGAGAAATAATGCTTCTTCGTTCCACTGTTTCATCTTTTCTTAAAAGCTAATAACTCCCCTTGTATATTCTTCGTTGCATTAGGTGTGAATGTCATCGGACTACTGAATAACCGTGTTATCATGACTTGCCTTGAAGCTAACTAGTTCTTGCCGATCCCGTTCCTTCTTGTTTCCTTATGTTTCTGGTGCGGCGTGTCATTTTTCATATTCCACATCCTCTCGCGCACGCACATTTCTGCACGTCTGAGCTCGCAAATATAGCACCTCGCGGTAGGCGCTGGGTGCGAAGAATGTGCCCAAGCCAGCGAAGTCTTCGCAGTGAAATTATACGATCAGTCGGTCTGCGGAGTTTGTCAGATTTGAACACTCGCTGACGAACTTCCTCATTACTGATGTGATACTGCCATCGAAAATCAGCAATGCTCCGCAGGCAGCTGTGATCGATGCTAGATAGCCACTGAAAATCACTTGCGAACAGGTCATTTCTAGCAGTCGTACAGTAGAATCGCTCCTACTGCGGCATTGTAGACCTACCCCTTCAAAGCGAGGCTGAGGTCACGACGACGGAGGCTAGCTAAGACTACTCTAGCCTTGTTGACACGCAAAATCTCCTCTATCAAACCACCAATACTAAGGCAAATCCCAGGGTAAATGAGTTTACAGAAGAATAGTAGGGGGAGTTGAGTGGTATAGGTAGAAACTCATCACATCTACTCAGTCAGGCAGCCATCACACCCTCGGTAAAGCACTGTACGACCGTTTCATCCATTCGGGAATCGTCGGCAGTGTGCATTTCATTTGACCCTTGTAAAGCTCGAACCAACAACTCGACTGTTGCCAGTCTCTGGTTGGGACCACTGAGCTACGGGGGACAACAACGATCGTCGTGACTAAGTTAATAGATGTGATATAGCGAATGTTACGTAAGGGTGAGAAGGAGACGCATTTGACCAATCTTGTAGCAAAACCTTACATTTGGAAGGAGCAAATCGGGAGGCGGACATCTCTAGCCTAAGCGGTCTGGGATGAATCACGAATCACAGCGATATCATCTGCGTACTCCAAGTCTCGAAGGTGGTCACCCGGGAGCAGAACCCAAGAGTTTCCAGGACAGTCTCCAGGATCTCCCTCTTGGCGAAGTTGGACAAGAATGAAGAGACTAGCCAACCACTAGTGATACTTAAAGGGGGCGAAAAGTTTCCGTATACTCGCACGCGGCCCGAAGTTTCACGGTAAATGGCACGGAGAATGTTGAGCTACTTCTCAGATACTCCCCAGTCCAAAAGAGCCACTCTGTCAACAGAGTCAAATGCCACCTGTATGTCCAAGAATTTAACTGTGGTTGGTCGTCTGAGCGTATGACAGTGTTCAAATAGCTGGCGGATCGTAAAGGTATAATCGATGCAACTGCGATCCGGGTGAAATCCAGCATGCTGTTCACGCAGGTGCTATTCCCGTAGGTAACTGAGCCTCCGCAAGAGTAGGACAGTGAGCAGTTTGGATGCGACACAACTGGGACTTGTGCCACCATGGTTGGAGCAAACGGTCCGATCTCCATTTTTGTAGACAAGTACGACATCCGCTACTCGCCAGTCGGATGGGATTTCAGTTCACGGATGAGAGCAGGATTTCCATATTTGAAGATGACCGGAGGAAGTTCATCTGGGCGAGATGACTTGTGAGGTTTTAGTAGACGAAGCTAATAAGAAACCTCGGCGTCAGTCTGTGGAGAAACATCCACGAATCAGGGAAACTTGTGAATCGCCGAAGATAGACTCGGTTGTGCTAGTGGCCAGTTGAATTGATCTTCAAAGTGCTCTACCATTCGTACCAGACGACGGTGAGGACTCTCGGTTTTTTACCTCCCGTGGATTGAATCATTTGAGAGAGTGCATTAGTTTCCTGAAGAGGCTGCCCGCTTCATCTCAACGACGTGTTATGTCCATCAAACCTTGAGATCCTTCTTGTGAAGGTGTCTGAGCTCAAAGCTTTAGTTCTGCGCACTGCGTTGTATCCAACTAGTGGGAATTGCTCAATGGCACTCCATGAATTGGAAATCCAATGGCTAGCAGACCGTTCAGTGAAGTCACAGACCAAGGTAACGGACTTCGTAAACGCACTTAATCTGTGCCCATGGTTTCTCAACGTCAGAGGATAGAGAACGCCTATTAGAGTCTAATATGTTCTGAAATGCGCCGAGAACATTTGGGCGGCTTGGTTGGTTGTCTCTGAAGCGCAACCCACCAGCGCATATGCCGATCAAGTAAGTGTTCCAAATAAAATTGATGTTCGTTGTGCATCCACGCCAGCGGTAACCGATAGCGATGTAGTCAATCTGTGTCCACACTTGACCAGATGCCGGAGGTCGCCAGATGACTCGTTGGCACCAGGAACGCCGAAAATTGGTGCTCGTAAGGGACAACCTGTGGTCGGCACACAGTTTACAGAAGTGGCCGTCATTGCTTGTCCTGCGAGTACCGTAGCTTTGTTGACTCCCAAGTTCGCGTTCATGAACCTCCAGTCTACCGACCAGCGCATTTAGATCTCCGGCGACCATCACGATATTTGTGCGGCGTTTCTTGCTGTGGCGATCGGTGAGTTGGCGCTAGAGCTCACCTTCGGCTATAACCAGATTGCAGTGCGTGGGAACGTTCGCCGCTACAATGAATAAGCAGCGTTTACCGGTCCTGTGGCTAAAAAATCGCACTAGGCTTTCCAAGTGGATTGCACAGTGACGGCTGTTGACTGGTAACCAGATAATGAGCGCTGCCATAGCACGCGCGTTTAACGCAATTCCTACGCTGGTGCAGTCAGAGACAGTAGGTGTTGCGTCTCCAGGTAAGCGCAAGGTGAATGTACAACCGGACTTGAGGATGGTATGCTGAAGTCCTGTAAGCGGATATTAGTTAGGCAGAAAACATCGATAGAGGGGCTTTCAAAAGTGCGCGCAAGAGCAGCTTGTGATACAATCTTCATAAGCATTCGAATATTAAGCGTGGCTAGCTTGAATAGCGAGTGGCGCGCCATAAAAGCCTTGCTGTTGAAATTTGATTGCTTGCGATCGGTTTTGAGCGGTTCGTTGATGTGGCCAAAATATCTTTCTGCGATGGGTTTCTGGTGGCTCGAACGAGGAGGGGTTGCCAAGAACAGGAACTTTAAATAAACATGGAACGAATTATGTATTTTGCGGTGCGGTGGAGTGCTTTAGCATGCCTGGCCGCCAACCTCTCGGCCAAAGAGAGCGAGAACCATGAGCAGTGTGTCGTTAATCCATCATTTCATATGTTGGTTGTATGGGCATACGCTTCCTGGTTGTCCAGGCCGAGGATGGAGGTTTACTTAGCGGGCCCCACCCCGAACTTTCGATCACAGGGACCTGACCTGGATGACTGGGGCGAATTTACTGAATTGCACCCATTGGGAGCTGGTCACCGATTGGTCGATTCATACGCCTTTCATTTGGAGGGCTGCCAAACAACGTCCAATGCTCCCAGCAATTCAGCGTCCAGCTGAAAGATTGCAACGCTCCAGCAAGACAGTCCTAGAGGCAGTAGCGAGTCATATTCGCTACGTCGCAGTGCTTTTAAAACAGATAGTTGTGGCTTTTTACCAGGAAAACACTTGTCAGGCGAAAACTCACGTCCTGGAATACTATTTCGGAACATTTTGCTAGGACGGGTAGATTCCGAACCAGCCAACTGATAATACGAGGAAGTAGTTCGGCAAGCCAGCCATCTACTCTTCATACGCCATCTCCACCCCTTCTGGTTGGTTCGCGCCAAACGTTACTTACTTCATCCTTAGCCTTATCATCCTCGCCGAGGACAGCTTTAAGGAAGGCTGCTATCGGTATCAATCTGGACACTTTCAAACAAAACAACCCACCAATCAACTCTTTCTTTGTTCAAGCGATTTTCATCTCTTATGTCCCCCGTTGTCTCATTCTGTCATCAGTGTTATCTAGCTCACGTCTTACTCGCGGTTTTGATGGATCCCGCCTCGTAAAAACTGTTTATTTGCTTCGTTGTAACGACAACATTCCGTATGTTTCGGCAATGTCACTTTCGCGTTTTCCACTACGCCTTTGGTTACCAAATCTCGCTTCATCCAGTCACACAACCATACACACACTACGCATAGTTCAGAATTATTTGTAAGTAGTAGGGGGATTACTTAGGTTTGGTGTAGGTTCATTGCGGTTAGACACAGGCAGACAGTCACCATACATCCAGGAAAGCGCTAGGACGGCTTGGACGAAACGGCCGTCTACCGCTTTCCTGTATGTGCGGCGACTGTCTGTCTGTGTCTAACTGCGACGAATCTACGCAGAGTTCAGAATGTTCACAGAATTAGCTAATTCATCATTTCGC